ACGCGTCAGCCGGAGGTTTCAAATGAAATATTCCCGTGCTTGCGAGGACAACGCGGCAACGCATCGCCCTTTGTTCACCACTGAACCTTTTAATCCCTCGAAATATGCACCTAAGAAGATTTGCCAAACTGATACTGGTAGCAAGAGCGAGTGCAACTTAATTAGCTTGCGTAATACTGCTTTCTTTGTCAGGCTCTTTTGGTGATACGAATATTGAGGTCATGTGAACGTTGATTTCAAACGTACTAAAATGTGTGAAAATAAAATTACATGAACCAAGTAATTCACATGATGGAAACATATGATCATCTTGCTTAAGCACAGGTAACATGAAGGTGTATGAACCGTTCATATACATACCCATGAAATCCGGTATGATACATAAATATCTCAGGTGTGTAAATATTAGCAAATTTGAAAATTTACATGTGTTTCCCCACCTAAGTAAATTCACATGTTACTAACCCGGGTAAACTTAAACGAAATCGGAAATTTCAGCACCCATTGAAATTCAAAGGAATGCATTGGAAATACTCTATGATCATGTATTTACCGGGGTATCTGTTTTGCAATTCATGTTTGGAAATCCCTGACAATCCGGTCAGGGCATACATGAACGAGGTGCTTGTGCATACGAAAATGTACGATGAGCATATGTTTCAAAGGTATAGATTCATATGAAATATATGCCCGAAGTTAGGAAATATCTGAAAACATACGTAAATCCGGTCATGGCATGTATTTCCTACTGTATTTACGTTTATTTCAATGGTTTACTATCCGGCTTTTGGTCCTGTGTACGTACTACGTCCACTGATATGTGTCTGCACAATGGCTAAAGAGGCCGATATGTTATATCACTACTACAATGTTTCAGTGTATGATTAAACTAAATCTGTAGTCATTACGTGACACCTGACTTTATGAAATTGTCATAGCGACTGATTCAGGAAAGCCATTGTCCACCTACTATGTAGCCATTGTCCACCTGCTATGTAGCCATTGTCCATCTACTATGTAGCCATTGTCCACCTGCTATGTAGCCATTGTCCATCTACCATGTAGCCATTGTCCACCTGCTATGTAGCCATTGTCCACCTGCTATGTAGCCATTGTCCATCTACTATGTAGCCATTGTCCACCTGCTATGTAGCCATTGTCCATCTACCATGTAGCCATTGTCCATCTACATTGTAGCCATTGTCCATCTACGATGTAGCCATTGTCCATCTACTATGTAGCCATTGTCCATCTACCATGTAGCCATTGTCCATCTACCATGTAGCCATTGTCCATCTACTATGTAGCCATTGTCCATCTACTATGTAGCCATTGTCCATCTACTATGTAGCCATTGTCCATTTACCATGCAGCCAGGACATGTTTAACTTGACTGCACTGATTTATTGATGCTAATATCCACTCTTAATAACCACTGCATAGTATATCAATCTGTCATCCAACCCGTGCTACTCTGACACTGTCATTAGTCTGTTATTTATGTTCGGACATTCAGAGAGAGAAAAGAGAGAGCGTGCGTGTGTCTGTCTCTGTTTACATCTGCACTCTCAGTCACTCTTTCCGACTGGAATTCAGCGAATTATGTTGACTATTCCTGACTTCCTGGAATCTGCATCCGTGAAACATTCTGATAGTTACGAAGTCAAATACACCCAGTATGTCCAGCACACAAACCATGACACAATTCGTGAGTAAATCAGAAGATGAACGTGATGCTGATCCAATATATATTACATGTGACTGATCTATATCTAACGGTCACATGTGACTGATATATATCCGAAGTCACATCTTGCTGATTCATATCCATATATTGTATGTGATGGGTTTATATTTAAAGGTCACATCTGACATATATGTTTATATCTGGTTAACATATCAAGAGATCATACCTGACATATACATATTTAAGGTTCTAATATATCTTAAGCTCATGACTGACTGATTTACATCTAGAGGTCACCTCCCACTGATCAATTTGAAAAGGTCATATCTGACTGCCACACTTGTAGCGTACCATAAATTCTTTGGTCTCTCGTAGCGACAAACACAGTTGTATTAAACACAAGAGCGAGAAGGCTGGTCAAGCATTGTGTTTATCAAGTGATTGCAATAAGCACAAATTGTGTTCTATTTATCTCATACAAAGGAGGCGGCCGGGTAGCCTAGTGATTAAAGCGTTCGCTCATCATTTGCTCGATAACGGTGTTAGGATCTACACCGAAACGTCGCAACTACTGCAACAAAGAAGTTGTCCATCCATAAAAAGTGTTCCACTTCACTTTGGGGTTCTCAAATATTTCTACTTCAAAATATGTCGTAATACCTCAATTTTACACTTGAAAAGTTAATTTCATACCAAGCAACATTTACTACATTAAGAACGTTTTATTACGTTTTGTGCACAATTTACTTACCTATGTGAAAAATGATTTTTTCGTCAACTGTATCTCGCCATGAGCAGCTGAAAAACGCCTGGATATGTACCGCAGGAAAGCAAAGGGAAATAACTCGCCCTTGTTACAATTGCCCCGTGTTACAATTGACCCCGGTCTCCCCTACCAATGCGTTCTCACATTTAGGGTATAACATTTTACGCGTATTCAGATTTGTGATTGTGTATCTGATACTTGTACATCTCAATTTAAACCTGACCAAAAACGTGTTTGTTAATTTCCTAATGGAGTAAAAGATGTAATTTTACTGAGATTCTTTTCTCTGTGTTAAGGAGGGTGAAGGACGCGTGGGTTTTTGACCCAGTCGGATGTCGATCTTGTATTAATAAAGCTTAAGTTCGCCCTGGTTATATGTTTCCAGGTTTGTCAGCACCCTATCCCATGCTCTAGGGTTTTATCAATGGATAAGGCTGCTATATTACGACAGTGAGAGAGTGAGTTTAGTTTTACGCAGCATCTCAGCAATATTCCAGCTATAAGGCGGCGGTCTGTAAATGACAACAAACAACAACACACACCGTGGTTTATACCATTTCCAACGTTCCGAGTCGTTGAAGAATACAGTGCCAGAACTGCCAGTGTTCTTTATGACATGGTATGGCGTTATCGCGATGTATTTTGACTCCACATCCAGGCGCGTAGCAAGCCAATTTTTTCGTGTAAGCCCGATAGGTTGCAAAGCTTTATATTTAGTTATTCACTCACTAAGTCTTTTGTCACTCCAGATGTTTTGTATGCATGCGTTGGTGATGTACAACAAAGCATACCACATATACAGGTTTTACAGTAGTTTTAAGTAACCCACCTTCGTCACACTTTGGTGTGAAAGGTGTCAGGTACTGTTGAGTTTACACAGGTCCCTTTGTGTGCCCTGTTGATATTATTTACACTCATATGGTCCCGCTTGCAAGTGCAATATAGCCATCATGTCACTGCATTCACCAGACATGACCGATTTCCATATTGCATAAATAACCACACTGAGCACTTATCATCTTAACTTGACAACTGGTAAACATCTTTTGTCTTTAATGAATAACCTATAAACACCATTCGACAGCTTAACTACTGCTCCTGTGACAAACAAATGTACTCTGTGAACACCGAGAGGAGAGAGCAAGGTTCACATTCGTCATGTGGATGCACCTTTAGGATAATTGTGCATGTAGCTATGAGAAGAAGTACCGCAACCTTGAATATGACTTGGCACTTTGTCTAGAAAATGTATACTAGTTCAGGTATAAAAAAAGGGGTATGGTCTTACAACAGCACGTAGCTCTCTTGATTCCAGCAGCGAGATTCTGACTTGATTGATTAAATGAGAATTTGGGACGTTATCCTATAAAGTCAATTTTACTCAAAGGTAGCCAGGGGCTATTTGAGGCCACACTTTAAGTGATCTGTTGAGACATCAAAAGTAAATATCATCCCTGCGTTTGCTATTACGGCCATCAACGCGGGGAGACACAGAACGCCATTCGATTGTGTAGTACATGAGTAAATATGCCTATGTGACCATGTAAGAGCGTCTACATGTTTACATGTTCAAATGCTTTCTTATTCATGTGTACGTTGTGAGGTTTTGGACAACATGTGCCTCTTAAGATTTCCACCCACTATATGAATGACTGAGTTTAGGGTTTACGGTGCTTTTAGCAACATTTCAAAAATCTGACTCCAGAAGACGCCTACAATGGCGACTATGTGCTTTAATCACAAAGAAGATATGGACTGGTCGTGATAATGCTAATAATAATAACGATTATTTTTGCGCCTAGAATCCAATACGATGCTGCTCTCTGGCGATACGTTATTACCCTGACGGAATTGTACTTTCAAAGCCGGTACTAAGCGCTTCGCGCGACCGTATAGGTCCGTACATCCGCTTCTCAGGTACCCATTTTGAACAGCTGGGTGGACTGAGTGCAATGTGGGCGAAGTGCCTTGCCCAGGGACACAACACAGTATGAGACCCAGGTTACAACTTTTGGTGTCTCCACCGGTATTCGAACCCGGGCCTTTGGCGTGAGAGGTCAGCATGCTAACCACTGTGCTCCACTACACCACTGTGATATGATAGTGAAAATCAACCCATGCTTGTCGTAAGAGATACCCGTGAAGGTCTTGGTTAGAATATTGATCTTCAGTAACCCATGCTTGTCGTAAGAGGCGACTAACGGGATCGGGTGGTCAGACTCACTGACTTGGTTGACACATGTCATCGGTTCCCAATTGCGCAGAACGATGCTCATGTTGTTTATAACTGGATTGGATAGATACATGTCCTTTTATCCCATGATGTCAGTCACTGGATTGTCTGGTCCAAAGATTGCCGTTATATAGCTGGAATATTGCTGAGTGCGGCGTTAAACAACAAACAAAAGTGTCATGGGTTCATAGTTTAACTGAAACTTTGACCAAGTATCTAAAGACAATGAAATATTGTGTTGTATATAAATGGATCGTGATTGCTCTTTTATGACAGAGGAACAATCAATCCTAACGATGGGTTATTGGTTTCAGCTTCCCGCCTTCAATCCTCCTCTGACTTGAAGCCACCGATCTCGTCTATTTACATTTGAGAGCTCGATTGCTTGTTTTCGGCAGGAGCAATATTTACTCCAGACTTAACAATCCAAGCCAAGAGCCAATAAAAATGTGGCCATGATATTTCGTTGTGTGTAGACAGGTTTACCTTACAAACCGTCACTGCCGATTGGTTGGTAACTGAGAAATACCTGTGGGTGTCGCCGGCCGTCAAATCACAAGCGCTCCACCTGTCAACGGGAACAGTTACGATCCCTGGAAAGTGAGCCAAGATTCAGGTCGCGTTGACCTGCACTTCCTTTGAAAGAACATCGGATACAATTCTTATTTGATATCAGATTTCACAACTCTGAAATGGAGGGAAGTAAAATGAACGGCGAGAAGGGAAAGTTCCCCCCTTCATTTGTAGACATCCAAAATGCTGAGGTTGTAGAACCCCCTCCTTCAATTGGGATGAGGATTTGGCGTATCTTTAAGAAGAATATCTTGATAGTTCTCCTGATCTTGGCATTGTGTCTAGGAGTGGGAATAGGAGCAGCGCTTCGGAACGTGGAACCAAAGTTTGATTATCGACAGCTGATGTACCTAAAGTTTCCTGGAGACTTGCTGATGAACATGCTGAAGATGCTCATCCTTCCCCTCATCGTGTCCAGTCTCATCTCCGGACTGGCTTCCCTCGACACCCGAGCGTCCGGCAAGATGGGGGGTCTGGCCGTCGCTTATTACCTCATCACCACCTTTGCAGCCGTCGTTCTCGGCATCATCCTCGTCGTCAGCATCGGCCCTGGATACAGGGGAGGAGGGGCAAACAGATCCGGTTCATCCAAAATTGTCAACACCGCCGACACCTTCCTTGACCTCCTCAGGTAAGACAATATTTTTGCACGCAGAGTCATACCTTTTATGCATGCATTGAAATGACGTATTGCAATTTCAGTCATGATTCGCCTAGGCATTTCAGCAGCTTTCAAACTCAGTGGCCACTGTGTGAAGAAGTATGTTAAATTCGGATCGTTTTTACTGGTGTCCCCGCAGTGATATTGCAGGAAACAATTTTTTTGGTCAAACTATAATTCACTGAATGCGTCATGTTTAAAGTCATCTGAAAACACATCACGATGAACTGGTACCATTAATTTATGTCTCGCGATTTACATTATGTGTCAAACAACATATAATCTGCTTGACTCCTGCGCAGTTTTAACCACAATGGCCTCCCAGTGTCCAGGAAAGGGATTACAGCGTACGGCCTTATGTGAAAGTATGTCTAGTCTGGTCTTAGCGAGAAGACCGTTAAGTTCTCGTACGTAGATTGTCTGTGTATACCAAGCCTCGCGAAGCCATAAAATTAGTTCGCATTTTCATATCAAATTAAGATGTCAAAGTTGGTCTCTTAGTTCGAATTAATGAGTTCTGATTGTACATCATGTGACTGTGTGACCCGTGAAGATCCGGGTTAGAATTGGTCTTCAGTAACCCATGCTTGTCTGTGAGGCGACTAACGGGATCGGGTGGTCAGGATTGCTGACTTGGTTGACACATGTCACTGTATCCCATTGGCGTACATGCTCATGCTGTTGATCACTATATTGTCTGGTCCATTCTCGATTATTTACAGACCGCCGCCATATAGCTGGAATATTGCTGAGTGCGGCGTTAAACAACAAACAGACCAATATCATATGTGAGAATAGTGAATACCGTTTGCCTTTTTCTCTCGAGTACAACACACGATTTCGTATAGATCTTAGTTCGTCCTGGAAAAAAAAGTTGATAAACTAAAAACCTGACAATAGATTTGAAGTAAGGCCAATAATCCTGGAGACAACTACCGGTCGTCATATAAGCAACTTTCAGAACATGTGTCCTTACTAAGGCATCTTAATGCTGGCAAAAACTTACGTCCCGAGTGAATGGGAAATACTACGAGTTGACTGTTTGAAGTTTATAGGCTCGATTTGACGTAACGGTTTCATTTACAGATGATGGAAAATATATCAGGATTGATGATAATTTTGAACACCTGGAATTGCCTTTTTAAATCATCAGTTTGTGTAAATATTCGTCCAAGATTCTAATATTTATCAGCTCTCTCATGAAATAAAATAATCTTTTATATTGATTTATTTTAAAATTAAATGTATTATAAAACAGTAAAACATGTACAGATATTCTTTGAGTGCTTGGGCGGTAGGGTAGCCTAGTGGTTAAAGCGTTCGCTCGTCACGCCGAAGCCCCGGGTTCAATTCCCCACATGGGTACACTGTGTGAAGCCCATTTCTGGTGTCCCCGCCGTGATATTGCTGGAATATTGCTAAAAGCGGCGTAAAACCATACTCACTCACTCTTTGAGTGCTTACTAAGCGCAGTCCAGTTGATTTCTGCAGGATATACTATCACCAGCTTAAGATTTTTCAATTGGAAATGAAACACATGATACTATCAAACAGACAGGTATAGTTTAGTTTACAAAGCTTCGTGCGGATAGGTGAGTCAATTTTGTGTTGATTTAGCCGGTTTGTTTGTAAAATGTACCGTCCGGAAACAGAAACCGAATATCCGTTATAGACAGTCACTTTTATAACGTAAGAGATTGGATTTTTCTAAAAATTGACCGGAAGGTGAGGTTTCCGGAAATCTGGGGTCCGGGTATCCGAGGTCTCACTGTATATGCAATAGGCGATCGTTGAAGGCAATCGCTGCTGTAGCTATGTTTGTAGGCCACCTGTCACGTTCTGTCTTGGCGTTGATTTATGTATGTGTTGTTCACGTTGTTGAAAAATAGTACACCAACATCCGGGGTCATTATAACCTCTTGAAAGAAAATGTCTAAAATTTATGTGTCGTCTTAAGTGGCTATATCGATAGCACTCGGGGGTAAAACCACCTGTGGATTTTACGGCTCATATATCGATCTAAATAACTTTGCAGCATACATTTCACACAACACTATACATAACTCAGTCTTTTATATCCAGGGCAGGAAATTTGACAAACCGACTCTTGCTTACGATTGCAAATTATCCGTCCTTGATTTTCATTTGTCAGTTTCATTTGCTGCATTGGTCTAACGGACCAATCAGAATGCGAGTTACAAACCAGCTTTAATGTTGGATGTGTCGCTTTTATTGATTGCGAGTTTAGAAAATTGAACCTCGAAAAACTGACTGAGCAACTAAAGAAACTAGAAATTGATGAAAATAATGTCTTCATGTCCAATAAAACTGCCTGTGGCTTTCGAGACAATACGAGTTACCTCCCTTATCCTTATCTAATTCGAGATCGCGGGAACCAGAGGAATGGATCCAGAGTTGTAGTGAAGGTTAACCAGAATGTGAGCTCTTGGGAAGGAGAGGATGCATCCGTTTAAAAAATCGCAAAATGCAATATGCTTTGCAATATATATAAATTTCTTAAATAAAAAAAGAATTTCGCCAGTTGAATGATTATCATTTTACGTTATGAGAGTTACGTCCCCTTGAAAAGTGCGTAGGCTTGGCCAATTACCCGTGTTGATGAACTGTACACACATACAGAGAGGGAAGTGAAGGTGTCTTGTGTGTTGAATACTGGTCCAGCCTCTTTATAATGGTTCATATTACTAGAAGCTTCATTGTTATCGTTTCGTCTACTGTGTGTATATGAACACGGTTGGTCAAGTAGTCCGAGGTGCCGCAATTCGCTGTTTAGAGTTGTGTCGAGTCTTGGTTCGAATCCCAGTTTTCCTTGAGTGTATTTGTAGGTTTGTCAGCCCCAAACCGGACTCGTGGGTTTCGCCATAGTGGTGACACATGTAGTAGGCCTATTTCAGTCTTTCCTCCTGAAGGGGACGGTGGGGTAGCCTAGCGGTTAACATGTCACGTCGAAAAGCCGGATTATATGTGAAACCCATTTCTATTGTCCCCCGCCGTGTAATTGCGGGAACATTGCTAAAAGCGGCGTAAAACTAAACTCACTCACTCCCGCCTGAAGCTGACACGAAGTGATCCAAATTTATTGTTTTTCAAAGCGGCATAAAACCCAACTCACTCACCTACTCACACAGCAAACAAACCAAATCCATGACCCCTTTTTGAAACGAGTTTCTGCTATTTAACTATCTTACATAGTCTTGTGTGGGCTGACGAACCGGATTCAATTCCCCACAAAGAGTGAAGCCCATTTCTTTTGTCTCCCGCCGTGATATTGCTAGAATATTGCTAAAACTAAACTAAAACCCACACAAGCTTTCACTTGGGAGAGGTACATTAACATACAATTTTAAGCTTCAGTCAGCATATCTGGCACCCACCACTCCTATGGTTAGTTTGATATTTTCTAATAAGGTGTTTTGTCAAATTCAGAATTTATTACGAAGCTAGAAAACGTTTTACCGTATCTCCCGACTGTCACGGGACACACAGAAAGACCCGTTAGCTGCTGATATATACACGCTTGTCAAGTGATAAACGAGTGAGGTCGTTTACGTTTACGCCGCATTGAGCAATATTCCAGAAATGGGCTTCACTCGTTGTACCCGTGTGGGTAATCGAACCCGGGTGTTCGGCGTGACGAGCGAACACTTTAACCACTAGGCTACCCCACCGCCCCGCTTATCTTGTGTGTAGCAGTAGCTAGCGTTATTTAAATGATTTGACCTTACTCAACCACAAATGATAATCGAAACTTATCGACCCGTGTACCAATCTCTGATATAAGTATAAAAACGTGTTGGTGCCATAGTCTAAAATTGTTTCAGCATCTGAGTCGGTTATACATACTCTAAACTACAAGATACTTTCATCAACGCTCTGAGTAACGGTACGCACGATTATATTATCAAATATGGAGGTATACGTATCATCTACGTACATGTTAGTATCTTCTACGTAAAGGTAAGTATGGTCTACGTAGACGGTATCATCTATATATGTTGATGTAAGTACCATCTACGTACATGTTAGTATCTTCTACGTAAAAGTAAGTATGATCTACGTCGAATGGAGAATCAGTTTTGAAGGTGTAAGTACCATCTACGTACATGTTAGTATCTTCTACATAAAAGTAAGTATGATCTAAGTAGACGGGAGAATCAGTTTTGAAGGTGTAAGTATCATATACGCAGATGTTAGTATCTTCTACGTAAAGGTAAGTATGGTCTACGTAGACGGGAGTATCATCTATATATGTTGATGTAAGTACCATCTACGTACATGTTAGTATCTTCTACGTAAAAGTAAGTATGATCTATGTTGAATGGAGAATCCTTTTTGAAGGTGTAAGTATCATATACGCAGATGTCAGTATATCCTACGTAGAAATAAGTATCATGTACGTAGGCTGGAGTATCAGCTATAAATATGTAACATACGTGTTAGCAATTATATGGTCTAGATAGACGGGAGTATCATCTACAGGGAAGATCAAGTTTTGTAGACTACAGCTTCCACACTGATATCACATGATATCTATGATAGCAACTGCACCATCGTCGTCATTCTTCCAGGTTCATCTGACATAATGAAATATGAGAGAACTGATCCAGTTCACTCACTCACTCATGACAGAATCTCTAGACGCACTGAGGCACTTCTGTCCCTGCAAGTGTGTGACCGGGTCACATCTCCCGACGGGACATTGTGGAAGGAATGTTATTGTCAGTCTGCATGTGCCGGCACGTTCAGAGAACACAGCTTACCTTTAACATTTGTTGTTGGAGGTTTGGTGACACACCTAAGTAAATGTCGCTGTATTCTGGCTTCGGTCACCACCTAGGTGTAAATCCTGCAGAGTGATGTCTGACTGCGTGTCAATTATCACCGACCTCTCCGTCCCCCTCCAAACCCCCATCCCCACCCCAAACTTCAGAAGTGAGGGGATAATGTAT